TGTGTGTGTGTGTGTGTGTGTGTGTTTGTGTGTGTTTGCTTGTGTATGTGTATGTTTTTGTGTCTGTAGGTGCATATGTATGAGCATGTATGTGTGAGTACGAGCTCTCGTGTGTGTTTGTGTATGAGCGTGTGCATGGACACTTTTTTTCTTCAAATAAGTGGTATCATTTCTTTCTTTTAGATTTCTATTCTTCGGTATTACTTACCAGCTATCTTTTTTTGTTGGGGGGCTACCTTTCCTCCGTATGCAACCGTAACGTTATGATTTTATTCCTATCGCCTTGGCGCTCACCTTTGTATGAAGGTACCTCCAAGTTGTTTCCAAACTTCTTTGAGTTCCTCACATTTCCCTTAGTGAGCTCTGATGCTTTGGTGTTGCCATCTGCATTAGCTGGAGACAGTGCGCGTGATGGTTTCCAAGGTAACGTTTGTTGGTTGCTAGGCGACACGGGGGATACCGCAGGGGTGTTGCTGTGCTGTCCTAACGTTTTGGTGTGCCACAGATAGTGCTGATCATCTGAGGCTGTTGTCAGAGTAGAATGGAGGAGTTTGAGCGTGAGGAAAGGTAGGCACATCAGTACAATAACTCATTTTGATCTGAAGAAAAAAAAACCAACAACCAAAAATCCACATGAAAAAAAGATTTAAAAAATCGAGACCGATTTTTAAAAAAGGAACGTAAAGATGTATGATATATCTGTGGTGCCATCCAACCACCCACAATGCAACAGATGTTATGATACTCGGCTTCGTTGAATAAGATGGAAAGTAGCTATACCCCATTCGCTACCCTAGAATTACACAGCTCTATAGCTTAGTACCTAGTTTTGAGAACTTTTGACGCCAAAGATCTTCAGTTTCACATCATATCAAGCCTTTTCGAATGCAATTCCTTAAATATCTTGATAATGACTTCGAATAGTCTTAAGATTTTGATAGAAGAGATAGAACATTCATTGGTTTCTGACTTCATGGTCTTGGTAACTCAAAACGGTGAACAATGACAGGTGGAATTTTGTAACTCTGAAGAAGCGCATTGTCTTTAATTCACACAACTACAAACTGTCTTCCTGTAGAGGTGGAACACTATATGAATCATAGAAGTAATAAGCCTAATTGGCTGCAACGCAGTATGCCCTCTATGTGGGGACGGGGTTGGGGGGGGGGGGGGTTGAACTGAATTGGTAGTTAGTTTGGAATTAACAGACTGTCCAAAGAATGTTGTTGAGGAGTCTTTGTAGCCTTCCATGAATTAATAATAATATTATGACTGTCAATGCACATTTTACGTTTTAAAGACTTTGGTTCAAAGTTAACTTTTCAGGTGAATGGGTTCAAAATGATACAAAATGAAAGATGCACCAAACAAAACTTGATTCTGTAATGTTCTCACTGGGTGGTTGGCGAAAGCTGTGGACGTACGTGTGGATAGCTACTTCTTTATTATCAAACATCTATTGTCCATATCTCTGTTTTTTCTTTGTATGTTACTGTCTAGTAACACCTTTGATCTTCCGCACTTACATGACAAAAGTGTGTTATACGTGCTGTAAAACTCGTACTAAAACTAAACTAAACATGCCCACCTGGCCGCCGCCCCGTGATTCCCGTGCGAGCCATCCATCTCCTCGCCTGCTTTTTGCTGTGGTGTCTCAAAAATGTGGCCAAGAGCAAGCGCGCTCGCTTTCTTTTCTCTCGGTTCAGCTCGTCTAGAATGGTCATATTCTCTCGAATGTCGCTTCTCACTTTCCGAATGGTTCTCCTGAGGAAAAAGAAATAAATGAGGATGTGTGCATGTATGTGTTTGTGTTTGTGTGTTCGTCTCCCCGCCTCCTTCCCCTTTCTCTCTCTCTCTCCCCCCCCTCTCTCTCTCTCTCTCTCTCTCTCTATCTCTTTCTCTCTCTCTGTTCGTGGGGCGTGGGTGACACCAGCCGTAGGCAGTCATTAGTAGTTGTAGTTGTAGTCGTTGTAGTACAAAAAGTAGTAGAAGTAATAGTAATGGTAGTAGTAATGGTAGTAAGAGAAGTAGTGGGAGGAGGATAAGAGAAAAAAAAACAGAGGAAGAGGAGCTGGAGTAAAATAAGAAGAAGGATTAGTGGGAGGAGGGAAAGGAAATGGAGGAAGAAGAGGATATCTTATAGACCCTGTGAAACTTGAAATCTTTACAAAATTTACACTTTGAAAAATGTATCTTAAAGTACGGTCGAGCGTGCTCTAATGACCCCTTGTCTAAAACACCCACCCGTATAAAGGACAATTAATTCCCTACTTCCCCCTTACATTTTCCCCTATATTATAATGACATTGTCCAACACGTCCACCTCTTTAACCCTATCGGTACGCCCTGGGGTCATTTTGTACTCCCAGGGTTGTATTCTTCAAATGTTAGAATACTTCTAGTACGAAGATCTCTTTGAAACTTTCAGAATTTCTCAACAAATTATTTTGACAGACTGCTATGCAAAGCGTACGGATCGGATTAACGAGTAAATTTCCTCTTTTTGAAAGTGGTGGCACAGAGTTCCCCACGTCGTATGGATACTATAGTAAACACGACGTACGGATAGGATTAAGACTACCGCTATTCTCCTTTTTAATGGGTGGCCGTTTTGGACAATGTTGACTATTTAAAGTTCAGTCTCACTTGTGTTTCAACTCCATCTTGGCCAGGTCTATAGACAGGTTCCTCTCCGTCAGTTGTTTGACTTTCTTCATGTGTTGGAACTCCGGATCTCGAGAACTGGTCCACAGGGATGCGTACTGAGCCATTGTGGGCAAGGGCTGGAGGGTTGAGTTGAGAACAAAGGAAGGTTGGGAACAGAAGAACGTTGAGAACAAAAGAAGATTGAGAATAGAAGAAGGTTGAGATCAAAAGAAGATTAAGAATAGAAAAAGGTTGAGAACAGAAGAAGGCTGAGAACAGAAAGTATTTTACAGGGAATATGACTTTACAGCTGTAAGAGCTTGTAATCTCATAACTGCATTTATGTTTAACTGCTGAATGATTGTTATTGTTTGACTTCACATTTAAGTTACAATAATTGTAAATCAACAACTAAATAAAATAATAAGAAGTTATGAGTTTAAAAGCTTTAAAAATTTATACCCTTATAATTTCTAGTTTGTGACTAAGCCCCCTTTTCAATTAACAGACCTTTCATTCACAATAACACAGAAGTGAATGAGTAGTTGGAAGAACAAGAAGTAATCGAAGAGAAAGCTTACCTTTGTAAGTTTGATAACTCTTGAGGCGGGTGTTTCGTGGGTGCTCTGGTGTGGCCTGCTCCTTCTTTCCCATCAAATATAATATATCGTCCTGATCTCTCTTATACACAACGTATTTGTGACCCTCTTGTAACACCTCTATTCTTTGCTCTTATGAGAGCTTCTTGTGTTGCAACGGCATTAAACCCCTTACTAAAACTATACTAATTCTTGTGAAGAGACTTCTGCTTTTGTGTTTGCAAGGTGCGAAAACTGCTCCTGAATAAACTACGCCGCCTGTGTCTACGGTAATGACGTGAAGTTAGAAAATAATTAGCTGTCAACAAAGTAATTAACTGTCAACAAGAAGTGTGGTTTCTCGTAACAGAAATGTCTCCTGTTTCACGTAATACGATAAGAATGAAGACGTAATTTCCCCCAAAACCATAGAATGTTGACTTTGAATCACAAGTAGTTATACTTTTTATACAAGTATTTGACACTCCCCTTCCGACAGAAAAAGCCCCCCCCC